GCCAATCGTCTGATTTGTGCACAATGAGTTAATACTGTCCTGAGGAAAGGTGGTACACGATAACCGTTTCAGCGGTACTTCGAATGTGTATCTACTGGAAGGGGAAATTTGTCCGTCATTAAGCAGGCATACGTTCAGTCTAGAAATTCGCAAAATTGTCGAGCAAGCTGATCAAAGGGTTTCATTTGAACGACGGACAAACCTACGATGTATCGCTGCTGGTTTATAGTAAAATTAGCGCAAATGTAGGCTCAGCCGCCATGTTATTAACAATGCTGCGCGGTACTTAATAACTGTTCGCCCTACCACCTATCATTTTACAATACGTTGCGTACATACTTTGGCTTATAGGGGTGGCGCGTTTCTCTTCTTATTGAAGATTACATGTCACAGAATTTGGGGTGTCCTGATAATTTGCCGAACTATGCTCCGTCTAAGGAAGAAATTTGATTTTTTATGACAGTCTGCTATTTAATTCTAAGCAGTGTCAAGTAATAAATATCAGATTCCCAATTATTCATGTAAATTCACATTGTGTCGACATATGCAAGGAAATTATTTCGGTTTAAAATCTATGAACGTAAAGAACAATCTTGCAGTTCAGTTGCTTGCTACAGTTAAAACCTCATTTCAGTTCACGTGGGTTTGATCTTGGTTACGCCACGGTTAATATACCCAAAATCCCACGCAATTCATGTTGGTCTTGAGTTATTTTTAAATTTCTTACACGTCCCATCCTCTAGTACTGCAACATGGTATAAGCCAAAGGGAAAAGGAGCGATGGGATTGACTTGGAAATCTTTGCGGAACTCGTTTGCAACATCTCAGAGTTAAGTATTCCACCATGAACTGTCGAACGCGTTGTAAAAATATTTAACTAGAACCATTTGATTGCGACGAATGTGACAAACTTGTTGCTCTTTTGCAGCCTAGTACACAAAATACTCTCTTCGGTATGCCTATATACTCGAATTACCATATAGCACAACTCGTGAGTTCCGCCACAAAGGCTAGGACCAGCATACGCTCCAATTTCTTCCTGGTCAGACATAGCAATCTGTGGGCTGAACTGCTAGGCAAATTCAGATACTATGAAAGTGTGATAGCATTTTGTAACAAACTTCAAAGTTTTCTTGGTCTAAATGTGATAATGCTTCCGTTCACATGGGAAAAGCAATGCATAAACTATTCCAAGAAGGACCCAAAAATGTCTAAACAACCGCTGTTCTAAAACCTGGATTTCATGTTTTGACATCCACTAAATCGGTATTATATGAAGTTTAAGACTCATATTACTTATATACATGTCTCCCATGCAAGAGCATAGTTATTGTTGCAAATATTACTTTGTGTCGCTACAGATACCGTTTCTTGGGCCATAGGAAATATGTGTTCTATTATTTTTGATTACCAATGCGATTCTAAATGCATTTTCAGCGAGTTACCTTGACGGTATGCTACACTGTTTTCCTATGTACACTATTTTATTTGTCCCATGCTACGCTCCAGTGTGCTTGCACATTTCACGTATCTTTACTATTCTTCTTTGTAGTTAAGGCACGTAAAATTACTTTCAAAGTTTTATAGTTACCTTCTGGTTACTGACAAGTAGTGCAACGCACTTTCGTTCCTGGCACCAGGTACAGTCCTACCTAATATGGTAACCACCTGATTATGGCGACCAGTCAAACATTCCCAACGTTTTTCCTATGATTAATATCCCTATGCATGAACCTGTCTATGGCGGCCACCTGTCCATGGCGACCCCATTTTCTCGGTGCCTTATGTGGTCGCCTAAGACAGGTATGTTTGTGTTAAGTTCATCTACACAACAGTCTGTTAGACGTAGCGCCTCGTTTATTTCTGTTCAACAAGAAATGTTGTAGAATGTGTAGCTTTAAACACATTCACTCACTTCAAGTGTGGTAGCGCTTACCAGTAAGCGAACACGGAAATGCTTACTGAATCATGTGTGTGAGAGTGCAGCCTGCTTGTCGAACCTACCTGTTATAACTCAACATTTCCGGATATCAGTTTGCCACGGTTTGGGGAAAATAGCTTGTTACAGCATAATGAAAAGAGATTACTTTTTAAATAAAAAAGGAATAAAGATATTTAATAACCATATGTCGGAATAATGAATTAAAGTGAGGCAGAGACTGAGGAAATAATTCTTTTTGGGAGCTCATCAGACTCAGAATTTACATGGTGTCGGTTACATGCTAGACGTTCCGGATAGGGCTTGAATTGATTAAAACTGAAGATCATTTGTTTCCATTAGATCAGAATTAAATTCATTTTTCTGGAACATAGCACTTTATAATTAGGTTATAGCTTGTGGACAGGAAATTTACTCTAACGTGTTTAGTTTTAGCAAAATAGAGTAATTTAATCTGTGGCATTCAATCTAGTCTACATTTAGCAAATTCGCTATTATAGTACGGCATAAAAACAAAATCGCATTAGCAGCGTTTGTGTTGAGCCTTCTGTGAATTGCATAGCTTGCAGTTGAAAGCGTTTGGCAATTCGGTACCTCCCGGATCTATTCCTAAACATCACATCGACTATCGAGTTCCCCACCACTTGACAAATTTCAATACTAAATTTAGGTTTCGTGATTCTCTTCATCACTACAAGTATATCTCAGTGGCCGTGGAAATTCGTACGCGCAACTGTCCTACATTCCCTACTTATAGCTAGCATATTATCCTTCTGTAACATAACGCTCTTTTCCGTATCCAGTTAACCCATGATTATAAAAAGAGCGACATCTTGTGTCAGCTGCATTTAAACTCGCAGGGAACGCTTTCCACCTGGCCACTAACTTCAGAATCCCTTTCCATAGCACATCCTAGTCGGCCGGATGCTTCTTCTTCAAGTCCTAACCGATCGATATTCAAACGGCTACTGTCCTACATGCACATTATTTTGTCTTAACCTATTCACTGGAATTCTCCATCTTAATCGGATAAATCATTCCGTCCAAATTAACGGGTTTCTTGTACCTCATGCCCTGGTACTTTGAGCTCTTCATGAGGCAATCCTACTGGATTCATAATTGACTGTGTGAAGGATATGACACGCTGCCAGATTAGGGCTGGCTTTCCCTGAACAGAGTATTAACTCATTGACGCATCTAAAGTATTTGGGACTATTTCAATTACGTTAGGAAACTAGCAAGTTAGCGTCAGTTCTACTGAGAAACATGATAAAATTTAGTTTGTTTATATTTAGCTACTTTTCCATACGGATTATTAAAACTCGCGCCTTCATTTGTGCATCCTCGCAGTCTGTGCCATGATTTATTGCGATGGCAAGTAATTGTGTATCTTGAACCATATCTAGGTCTCCAGACATCCGACCTGTAGGCAGAAGTTAAGTAGCCGATTTGGCACCTGAGTTGTTCTTCTGTACCAGTCTTTCGGCCACCCATTTGGTCACCCTCTCCTGCGGTGCTTGCCTCGTTTATTGGCATTTGATTACGAGCCTTTGTAGCTCCTTACGACCAAAGAACGTTTAGTAGGAGATGAAACCAAGAACATCTGTAGCGTAAATATTATCGCTAATTTCCATATATGACTTCGATAGGGCAATCCTTACAAATACTCTGTAATTCTTGAGATTGTAAAGATATTTCTCAATATTCAACCAGCAAACTATTACCAAGCCATTTGCGGTGACTCATTACATGACTAACCCAGTAATTGCTGGAGCAAAACGGGAACACGTGCATAGCCTCAAAACTACGCCAGCAAAATAATCGTAATTACTGGTGGCTGGATCACCATGCACATGGATATGAAATCGTTTTCAGAGCACTTGAAAACGTTTGCCTTGTTTGAAGCAGTTTAGTGCATAAACAAGGAACGCTGGTCTGTAAGCTGATTTTATTATAAGAAAAACCAGATTAATTTAAAATCTCATCGCTCTGATCGTGCTAAAATTTCACACATAGAAATTTGGCACCTGAAATTTTGCAGAAAGTGGCGACACACGAATACCGATTAATAAGTGATTGAGCTTATCACTATCTGCGGAGTAGAGTACTAGGATTCCCAGTTATTTTTGTTCTTACCATCGAGAGCAAATCATGCGGTCAACCTTAGAACGCACCAGATAAACTTGGCATTGCAAGTAGTCTGGTGGAATGTCACCAGAATTAGGTTCTTCCATGGAAATGACACACCTTAAGCTCCTATGAACTGATATTTCTCCACCAAAATTTTCCGCGACTTATTATAAACTTGATAAGCTACGCCTAACGAGGGATATACATCCGTCGGGAGACGACTCTATGTTTCGCCCCTTTAGAATCTTCGTAAAATAGGAGCAGTTTTAAGCGAATATCAGTATGAGTCCACCGATATATGCCATAATGTGCTCGCAGATATATTTTCAACATTGCTGCATTCAGCGTCACCATACTATGGGCATACAAAGATGATCTATTTTACGCTTGTCTGCCCCCTTCTGCAGTTTCTTAGCGTTCTGTCGGACACCAACTACACGTGCGGTTTTAGTTTTCTGAGTCGTGGTACCGTCGCTTTAGACTGTGGTCGAATCTCCCTTTATGTAATATACAACTTGATGAAATGTTATTAGATGCATACCATGCACAAGTAGATTTCGCATTTTGATTGTTGCCTATGGTTGTGCTATCGTTATTATAACACCCGAAGGGAAATGTAAAAGTAAGAATTTGTAGATTGACTTCTGTTTCCGTATAACATCTGTTTGGGTTACGCAACGCAGTATTGCACCAGTTTGTTTACCGTGTTCTAGGCAGTGCTTGTGTTGAAGTAGATCTACCGATGATGTATTCTAGATTGTCTAGCGTCATCAACTTGAAACAAAACACAGAACCAGCTCCTATTGCAAGATTTTCTTTACTTATTATTTGTGACCAACTAACCTCGACTTGTAAAGGATTAACATGTTGTTTAAGTATCTGCACTTAAAGGCCTTATTCGCAGTTTCTTTTGCAATCATTCTGTCAACAGATGAGGTGCAATCTTTGTGGACTGTCATTGAGGACTCGAGTTGAATAAGAAGCGCATGATTTAAACAGTCGCTTGCCGGTTCCAACACAGGCTCTTCAAAAACGGGAACATGGCCACCACATCGCTGTTGCTAGACGCAGATTATTGTTTCAGATTACAAGCATTTCCACTTTATTCACAAACCCAAACTATTTAGTTTCCCGCCACCTGCACTTAAAGAGAAGTATGAAATGATATTATTCGGTTGCAAATACGAGGACTATTCTTTGTTGTGTTTATCAATGTGAGCTTAACCGTTATAATTACCTCTTTTTTGCTTTTCGCCATGTCGCTCACTGACATATTCATTCTTATTGGAATCCGCCCACTATGTGTTCCATCGATAATTATTCCTACTCTGTCACTTGCTTCACCTATGTTAAGAGTAGACGTAATATAAACCCTGCCTTGTTTCCGGATATTGCACCGCACTCTTCATTGAGAGAGTAAAGGGTCTTATTTTGCAGTACGTTTAAAGACAGTGCATCAGAATGAACTCAACTTGGTTAGCAAGCCGGATAAATTAACCGAAATATGGTGAACAGCAAAAATAAAAGGCAGAAACTGGTTGACACTACCGTGTGGACCGTCTGTTTAAGTAGTAACTGCCGGTCCGATTTATGCCAGTGCAAACAAAGCGTTTTGTGTCGGTCAGTACGCAGTTTCGCCAGGCCTTCTGTTCATGAATCATAATGTAGGCAATATCCAGATGCAATTGAAGAATCTACTATGCGTACGCTAACCAATGAGGCTATCAACGATTGGTGTGCGTATATCCCACCTACGTAGGACAACTGCAGAGGATGGTGGACTACAAATACTTCAGGTCTTGGGATAGTTAGGTGCATTGCATTTTGATAAAACGACATAATACTCAGTAACGTTTCGACCCAGTGGTTTTAACAATTCCCCTGTAGTCGATTTTAGAACACGTAAATCAGTCAGCTCACCATATACATTTGCTACTCAAAATAATCCACCCTAGTCAATCTTCATATTCAGAGTAATCGACTGTGCCTTTTCCTTATGAAGTTCCCAAACACTCCACGTACAACATGTTCATTTAAATATGGCCCAATAACCAGTGTCACTAAGCTTTTGCGCTTTCAAGCTTGCTTGCTTACTAGCAAGAAGCAATAAACATAAAGAAGCAAACAGGATCATCAGGTAAATAAACGTTGTCAGGTCACAGCGTCAACTGTTTGAATGTAAGGGACCGAAAACAGTACCGCCGTTAAAATCGCAGCTCCGTAGTTTGAGATATGTCCCTCAGCCACCGATCGGAATCATCGGGAGGCCACCATTTAGTAATATGGCAGGTACCAGCCTGAGCAAAACACTCAGTAAAACTTTTCCTGCCTTTCTCATCGACAAGCCAGCTAGTTGATTAGTCAACGAATGAAGTCACAGGGAACACTGGGGGCTTAAGCCAACTTAACGCCGGTGGTTGAAGTTTAGTTGACGTTTCAGGGCGGCTGTAGAAGTTCTCCATAAAGGAGCTAGCGGAAAACAAAATAACTTCTTTGATGCTTCTGTTGAATTTAAAAATATTGGCAAGCACTCAAAAGCGAAGGTGACCAATCCCTGAAAATCTCCAGTGATTTTCCGTCACGCTGCATCGTTCTAAGGCCAACCCATTATTGATAGACTGACGTCACTACAACCTGGTGAAGGAATAGTACCTTGGCAAGTCATACGATCTTTGGTAAGACGTGTAGCAGCGTCTTTAGTTATGTAGGCATTAGCCGTATGCTAAACACCAGGGTAAGTGGAAACTACTGATGGTTTAACGTAGCTGTTAATTAACAGTATGGTATTGATGGTCTGCGTGCCATATGTTCGGGCGAGACTCAACAGTACTCAGGTAGTGTCTAGACAGAGTACAACTGAACAGCAAACAAACATGATCGCTGGAACCCAGTGGAGGTCCGAAAGTAATGACACCAAAAAAATCGAGTTACTTAGCAAATACAAGGTCTAAGATAGACGGTACTTGGGCGTCCATGTACCTGGTGGGAGGTCAATGAACTGGTGCAAATATACTTGGAGCGTAAGCTCAAGCCGATTGGCGCCGAATGTGCCAGTTGCTGAGTCGCAAGAAAGAGCTGCAGAGCAAATCTCTGGGAGGTTGAAGTCGCCCATCACCAAACACTTATTCGCGGACTGGGAGCGGATGAATTCTAGTACCTCTTTGAATATTCTACCGGGGCTTCTATACACAATTACAACTGTAACCTGAGCGGAGGCTGTGCTAATAACAGCCGACAGAGCTTCAACAGTTTTGTATGCTGTCTGAAATAAACAAGCCTTCTATACGTCAGGTTTACAGCTCACATAAAGAGCGACGCACCCTCCCCGTCGGCCAGCAGGGCCATCGCATCTAAATAGTGCGTAGCCAAGTAGATGTACTTCACCATCCGTGATGTCCTGAGAGAGCCACGTTTCAGTGAATGCGAGGATATCGGGATGAGACCCATCTACAAGCAGGCCTAACTCGTATACCTTATTCCTTAGGGTGCGTAAATTACCTAACACTATCCGAAGGTATTCGTTAGAATCAGACCTGAATCGTGCTCTACCAGAATGGGCAGTGGTAGGGCGGAAAAAGGCCGCCGGCTAACCACCCGAAAACCCACTAACCGGAGACCCTGTTCACCGGCCGCTCGCCTACTTTTGAGGTCCTTGATGGCCTCCCTTAGCTTCAGCCTATCGGCCAGCGAAAGGTCCTGCTGAACGCTAATATTTGTACCTTTCAGCTTAAATGCAAACAGCATGAGAGCGCTGCGTTCCTCCGGGGTAGAGAGTACCACACGAAGTAGCCGCGGTTGAGGGTTTGGTACGTTAAATGGGACGTTCTCCAATCTAATCAGCTTCCTGACAGTAACGCCTGGAAAAACAGGCGGAAGAAGCTTCGTTACGCAATTCTAAACCATTGAAGGTCGTCTAACATGCGACTAGCAGGAAGGACAGCAGTAGATTCAGCCGCGTTACGGAATATAACGCTACTATCCGTGAATGAATCGCCACGAAGGGGTGTATTAACCCCACGGGTCTTTGATTCAATACTTGGAGTATGTGGCTTCACCAATGGTGATGGGACTATCTTTAGCCCCTCCGATGAGGTAGCAACGGCGGCGTATATTTTTTCGCTCCACTGTCGATGCCATACTTTTGTTAGGGTCATCGATTTCACCTAAAGGCTTTATGGCAGATTTGGTTTGCTTTTTATTCTTGATAAAGGAAGCAGGGTACCTTGAGGATATTTCGCTTTGAGCAAAAACAGGCCAACTTTCAGAACATGCCGAGATTACCGGCGACTTCGGCTGACAAGTAGTGCGTGTTGGAATCTTCGCCTTCGCACAACCGTCAGACGGTTTGCCAAGTAACGACACTTGGCTTGTTTCCTGTGCCGAGACAACCATAACTTCTTGTTTAGCAGAGAGCTTACGGGGTTTCCTGGCTCTCTTTCGCTTTACTCAAAGGGACCGCTGAACTAGCAATTCGGAGTCGATCAGGGTAGTTTTAGATATGACGTCCGAAACTGCTTCATTTTTGTGGTTGGTAGCCACCTGGACCGGGGACATAATGATTGGTGCCACAAGTTGATCATCAGTTTCGGCGATCAAATCTGCTTTGTTGGAGACCGGAAGCGCCTTCATGAGCAGATCAGTCTTAAGGCAAAGAGCTGAGAACATCGAAAACAAACGCTCCACATTTCGCAGCCGGGTATCAAGCGATTCGTCTCCCTTACGAAAGGCCGCGCGGCCTAGCCGGCGAATGCAGCAATTGGCACAACTGAAAAGCAACTTTTCGCTGGAGGCCAGCGCTGTGTACTGCTCGGTATTCAGGTCCGTACAAAGCTGATGATACCATCGGTTGCAGACATCGCACTGCATACCGATGAAACCGTCAGATACTGGTATATTGCAGCTTGGACTGCCACAAAGTGCGATAACCTCAGAATCCAAGCTACCAGGAGCAACAGCCCCGGTACAATGCGAGACCGACATAGTGGAAACCAGCGTGGAATTATAACGCGTACACAATAGTTAAATAACCACAATAAAAGAAGGCAAAAAGCGGGTAAAAAAGGGATTAAAACTGGTAAACACCGGAAAATTACCAGTAAGCGCCAAAGACGCTTTGACCATAACCACATTAATCGATCCAAGATAGCTCGGACCAGAGGAAATTTGACAATAGACAAATTCCGTCGCATTGTTTATTCAAACACTGTTTTCCACAATATTGTAGCTAAAAAGAAGGCATATCCGGTGGTGTGCATGTTGTTGAGCCGTGTGCACATGTTACAGGACATAAACAGACGGTGCAGTCAGCTGTTATTTGCGGACCCAGCGGAAAGGGCTTAACTGATCCATTTGCAAGGAGTATGATATCCACGTCTGAGGAAACGAGTTATTCCGGAATCCTGGAAACCATTCGGTAGAGAAATACGGAACGGTTTAAGTATTTCTGTGGAACATGGATGCCTTGGTGGAGGTGCTGGGCGGCGCGTCTATTACGATAAATAGTTATGTTTAAATAAATAAGTAAATAGTTTTTCTCGACAAAGCGAGACAAGCTTTTTGAGCATAATCAGCCTACTGCAATATTGTACATGAAAACATGATTAACTTGACCAAGAGCGGGAGTAGTAAAGGTGCATGTTGGGCGGAACCTGGGATACTAGTCGGTAAACAATGACACGTAAGGCGTGTCAAATACGAAAGTATAGAAGTCGGAAGCTACTGAACCCAACGTATATTGTGCAGGCTACAAGAATGGGAAGCGAATCAGACAGAGCAGCGAGGTATTTACCAAAATGGTTTGTGTCAACGGAAGTGCAGTTAGTAAGACAAGTAGACGTTTCGAAGGATAAAACAACCATAAAATCCAGTGTTACAAAATGCTGAAAGAGCTTGTTTTCCGGTACACTACAAGGGCCTCCCCTTAGAAGGCTGAAGAATAGAAGCCATCGATGGAGCTGTTAGTGGGGGAAACTTAAGGTGAGGGTGGATGCGCATATTTGCAGGGGATTGAGTAAGGGCTTCCAAAGTGGGGTGTGTAGCAGATTTCGCTGGGTCCAGGCTTTTGTTAGTTATTATTTATTACGATCGTGTGAACCAGAGAGCATCATCGGTAGGCCGTCGGGGCGGGCTTGTCGGACTGCAAAAAGCTGGCTAGTCCAGAATAAAGGCCGACAGGACCTTCCCTCTGCTACAGACCCGACCGTGCGCTTGGGAGGTGTCACTCTCCCCACCGCACTTTATTCCACGGTCCCCGTTCTACGAAGAAATGCGGGCGTCCTCCCCCACGAAGAAATCCAACGTCCTCGTCGGCAATGCCTAGGCGGCGTTTGGGGACCAATCCGTTCGTTGATGTCTGCGGTCTAAGGCTACTGTCTGTTCCTTGGGTGAG